ATATCCTTTTCCTGGACTTGTAGATGTTAATATTGGACGATATTCTTTTAATTCTTTTTCATTTAATAATTTTTTATTTTGTGTTATAATTAAATCAATATCTTTTGCATTTGGATAATAAATTCCATATGTTTGTGTTGCAGCTTCTTTTTTAATTGTTGAATATGATTGATGATAATTAGTTAATGTTGTATTTGCATTAAGCCATACAGCATTAACTGAATTACGTGTTAATGTCTATAGAAAATAAGAATCTTTTTTTTTTTTATTTTCTTTTTATTCTTTAATTTTAATATACACTAGCAATCATTGATGACGATGAAATATAATTCAAATCATTTTAAAGACTTGTATCAATAATACGTAATGATGGTTCAAGAACACATCCACATGTTGAACAAAATTTTGCAAATGAATCATTATTAGTATGACATTTTGTACATTGTATTGATGTAGATGCATGATCAGGATATGCACTACACCAATCACAAAAACGAGCAGTAGGATTATTTAAACGAAAACATTTTGAACATGTCATCATCATTGTATTAGTTTGTTTTGATATTGTTGGAACTGAAATTGAAGTTCGTTTTTCCTATTGAAATATAAATACGGAAAAAATAAATAAGATTTTTTTTTCTTTACTGGTGATGTCGATGTTGGTATTAATACATTTTCACAAATATAACATGTTCGTAAATGTATTGAATTTCTTGATTTACAATGAGGACATAGAATTCTTGTCTAGAGAGGAACATTAAAATTTGATTAATTTTTTTGAAACCTGATTTTGAGAAGTTGGTCGCTGCTGTGGTTCTTTGGATACTGGTGTTTCACATACAACACATGGGTTAGAATTAAGTGGAATACTAGATTTACAATTTGTACATATATTAGTCTAATTAAAGAAAAATTATCCTTGTAAAATAAGATAACTACTATTCATTTGTAAAGTAATCAATACTGTTATGTAGAACAATACATGATCCGTCAAAGGATATACTCTTTATCAAATTTTACAGTTCTGAAAAGTCATATCCCCCCCCCCCCCCCCCAATATAGACGGCCACCCTATATTAGAAGGCCATGTACTAATTAATTAATATATTTCAAAATTATCGAAATTTTTATATATATTAATTAATAATTAAGGAAATATAACCGATTTTCTAATGTTTTTTTGCGAAATCCTTCCTTTCCTATCATAATTAGTACAGTTTTTACAAAAAATGGTAGTTTTTTCAGCAAAAAACAATAATTAAAGTTATTAATTAATTATTCATTTTTTAAATAATTTTAATTAAAAACTGACCAAAAATTGACCCCCAATAGAAGGCCATCCAAAAAATAGCGATGCGCCAAGACACTGTATAAGGGCATGCCCTTTTATTCTTGGGGGGGGGGGACTAGTTAACAGGTATTATAGCAATGATGAGTGTTGTTAGATGCGGCTGTCGAGGACAAAGGCAACCAACCATGCAATTTTTTCCATGTTCTATAAGTATGATTCCTGAGAATAGAAAAATATATGAATTTTCTTTTTGTTTTTATGCTTCAGAACATCGAATGTGATTCGGATATGTAGTTCTATCACATTCAACATATGTTCGGGTTTCTTATAAGAATTAATAGCTTTATCAAGATTCTGAAAGAGAAAAACGTTTTTTTACTATTTTCGAAAGACCCATATATATATGTCAGATATAGGTTATTTTTGAGATCATACTACTCATCATTGCTCTTGTATATCTTAACTGGTATAATGACTTTTATGAAAAAATAATTTCGTAAATAACTATGAGTTGTTCAACAGAATGGGATTAGGTAGTTTCTTTTTTTCAAATGAAGGGTGGTCATCATATCTGATAGAGTTATTTTGAATTACTGAATAATTATCCGGTGGATTATGAGTTAGTTTTTGCCAAGATAGACCACATTCCGTACAAAATCGTGTATATAAATCATTTGATTTAGGTGCAAAACAATGTGCACATCTAGAAAAGAAAAACAAAAGCTCAAATAATAAAATAATTTTGTTTCGATAAACCTTAAAACATTTGTTTGTATTTGAGAATTTGAATATGTATAATTAGTTGGATTTTCTTGTACTAATGAATCAATTGTTGAACGACGCATTGATTCTATATAAAAATTTGATTAATAATAAATAAAATTACTTTTTTTTTTTGATACCAGATAATTTTTGTTGCATTTTTTCATTTTCATTTTGCATCTTTCTCATTAATTCCTATTGAAGTAAAATTATAAAATCAATTAATAAATATTTAACTGAATTAAATATGTAGAAAAAAGTTCGATTGCTTTACTAATTGTATGTTTACAAATTGTTTTTTAGATATATTCTTATCGGCGGAATGAAAAATATTTTGCAATAAATTATTTTCGTTAACATCTATCTCTATGGAAAGTTTCAAATAGAAATCTAAAAACTAAAATTGAAGATGTGTCAATGACTTTGATAAGTATTGAACTTCATAGAAAAAAAACATTTTAATGAAGAAACATCGATAGACAAGCATTAAATTACTATTATTATATTAGTGATCTTCTAATTGAACTGTTGAGATATCGAGACATTCTTGAATATCAATTTTTTTAAATAAAATTAAAGATAAATATTTTTGCAAACTAAAATATATTTATATTGAAAAAATTGAATATTTAATTAAACTTTAACATCTTGATTAATCATTTATAATGACACATAAACTTGCTCGTATATCCAACAGATTATTTTATTTTCGTAATATTTTATGAAAGATTCAATGTATTCAGATGTGTTTTCTACAAAAATCGAATTCATAGTTTCTTTTAATGAAAACTCATCTTTTTCTAAAATATACTTTTTCAGATTACTTAAATAAATACTAAAAAGAATATTCTTTCACTTGATTCAAATTCATTGTATATTTCATATAAAAATAGGTATGATTTCATAATAAAAAAAAAAGTATTCTATACAGTATTTCAATAAACATGAGATAAGTAAATTTCTATTGAATTTATTTATTATCTATCATTTTGAAATTTTTTACCTTTCGTTCTTGTTGTAGTTCATATAAGTATCGATTTTCATATTCATCCGATAATGAATGATCTGATGGAATAATTTTAACATCAAATATTTTTGTTACTATAACACTTTCTCGAATTCCATCACTAAATAAATTTTAATAAAAAAAAATAAAAATTCTTCAAACTGATTTTTTTGTTTTCTCAAATATCTTTACCGTGATACTGCTATAGCTTTAATTGTTACTTTGCCTGTATTAGCTATATCTCTTGGTATATAAAATGGTTTTTTTTTATATTGTATAGTCGAACGTCGTGTTGCTAATGTTATAAATGCATCTGGTTTTGAACCATCTAATGTATAATAAATATCAACATCATTTGTATCACTACGTATTTCAATCAATGTATTTGTATCAATGGAAAATTTTTGTGTATATCCAACACGTAATGGAATTATTGACGGAGCAGATATTGAACCAGCAGTCATTTTGTTTAACAATTCAAAAAGTAATTAAATTGACATGATGAAACCATATCAAACTTTTTTACATCAAACGGTTGTCTATCATCTTGAAATTTTTCATTACGAAGTTGTACTTCACGTCTTTCACGTTCTGCTTGTTCTCTATAATAATAATAATAATAATAATAATCAAAATTTCTTTAATCTTGTTCTTTTTTTTTTTTGGGATTCTAAATAAAGACTTACAAACGAACTTTAATTATATTTAATTTATCTTTATATTTTGATGTTACATTAAGAACATTTTGTGAAAGATATTCAGATTGAGCATTAATTTCAAACTAGAACAAAAAGCAAATGACAATAAAAAATTATTTTAATCTATATATAAATAATTATGTTGGATTCATCGTCTCAGTCTAGAGGAGTATTATATATAAGATAAAAGAAAAAAAAATAAGTGCAGAAAAATGTGCTTATGGAAATATTTTATCTAAGAAATTTAATAGTGAATAGAAAAACACGAAGAGAAAAAAAAAGGAGAAGCAATAATAAATCATATGTATTAATACCAATTTTTTCCATAGCTGAACTAGTCGAATCATAGAATAATATGTACGCGAGAGGGTTGGGCAACTTTGTCATCGGTGACACAAATGATTATTCCAAGCGAAAAAATGACGCTCAGCACAAAAATGATCCGCTCCTGACAAAATGAGAAAAATGCTATGCTGCATAGGAAAATGATTAGCACTAATGGAATAACGACTATGACAAGAGGAATAATGATCTTATTTTATAATTACATATATTATTTTGGTCAGCGGAAAAATGAAAATCCATCAGAATAATGCTATTTTTCATCGGAAAAATGATTGAGAATAATGGAATAATGACTATGACAAGAGGAATAATGATCTTATT